TTAAAAATCCATACCGTGTACGGGTTCTGGGAAGTCGGGGGGGAGGAGGGGGGCTGGGGGTGGAGGGAGGGAGGGGCATACAAAAAAAATTGTACTTCAATGTTTTAATGATTGACGAATGATGAAATATTTGTGTTTTTTAAAAGAAATAAAACCTTTTTCTAAATTAAAAAAGGCAGATTTGCCTACAGTATCAATCACACAAAGGTCATGCTACAATCCTCTCTCTATCATTTTAAATTTACAAAGAACAGCATTTGCTTCAGTATTTACATTAGCAATTAATTTAAAAAAACAACCCAACACCAAATAGAAAATGAATTAAAAGTTTTAAAATGTTTTAAAAATTGCATCACTGCAGCAATGATGTCTCACAGACATAAATTTAAATTGCAAGATACGTCCCCCCCATTATATTATTTCAAACAAATATACTCTAAATCTTACATTTTATTATTCTTTGCACAGTATTTGGAAATCATTAAAAACATTATTTTTTTAAAAAATTAAAAAGTATTTTTAAAAATTTAACTTAATATATGTCAGATTTTTAGACCAAATCAATTTGGCAATTTTTGACTGCTTAGATAATTTGTAAGCAGTTGACTCAAGACTCTAAGCCAGAGGTTCTCAAACTTTTTAAACAGGGGGCCAATTCACGGTCCCTCAGACTGTTTTTTTTTGGAGGGGAGACAATAGTTGGATCTGCCTAATGACCAGGGTGAGTGTGGCTAGGTGGTCATGTGACTGGGTGGGCATGGCCAATTTAGCAGTCCATTTTGCCTTTGTCCTTCCTAAGTTGTACTTGCTCAACCCAAGGTATCTATTTATTTAATAAGACCCCCCTTCCCAAGGGAAAAAGAGCGCAAACTTTCTTGCCACTTGCCTAACTTCATTACAATAGCAGCTTTAGGTTCCTTAAAATAGGCCATTAAAAAAAAGAATAAAACAAATAGGATTTCCTTCAAAATAACTCCTGATCATATGTTTCAGAAGACCACACAATAAACCAGACTGACAAACTGCACCAATTAACACTGTAACTAAAAACCACAAGATTTGGGAAAGAGAAAATCCATTAGCATTGTATTTCTCTGAATGCACCATATACCTTTATCTTATGTATTGTAAATTGGTTTCTGGTGCATTTAACTCATGGAATGACCTTTTGTTACTACTTCCAGCAATATTAATCTGCATTTCTTACTTTATTTAAATGAACAGATTTCAAATTATATAAGCCCCATTGAGAATGTCTGTAGGCAAAAACAAACACCACTGATTTGATCTCTCTCACACACACTAATCTGCTTTGAAAGGTAAATGTTATATATAAAGGAAATGTTACAGGCAATACCTTAATGCTGATTAAATCTAAAAGAGGCCAAATCAGGAGACTGACCAGAAAGTGACTCCCTGATAACAAACAATAGGTCCTCCTCAAGTTAGCATTTAGCAAAGCCCTTAGATTTATATACCACTTCATAGTGCTTTCAGCCCTCTCTTTAAGTTTTATTTAGAATTGGAGAGGTGACAGACAAAGAGAAGAAAAGCTTTTAAGTTAAACAAGCTTACTCTAGTAATTAAACAGCTAAGCAATGTAGGTCCCAGAACATAGGCAATGAGACAAAAAAACCCACAAAAAATCTTCCCCTGGCTTCCTTTTCTCCCACGTGGCTGCTTCTGAACTAAAGAAGGCTAGCAAATGAGCAGGGAAGCCAGAGCAGGAAAGATTCTTACCAAAATATTCACCTTAGCAATTACACACAGAGGAAACTAATCTAAAGCCCCAGTCATTGCCTCCTCTACTCCTACCTCCTTCCAAATCCAAACGAAAAAACTCCCAACCCAGAAACGACGCTCCCAGAGCTGGAGGGCTGCACTGTGAAGCAAGGAGAAAGAAAAACCTTGCAACTTTAAAAACTCAGGGAGAAACGCCCTTCCCTAGCCTCTTTCTCTCCCACGTGCCTGCTTCTGAACTAAAGAAGGCTAGTAATTGAGCAGGGAAGCTAGAGTGGGAGAGATCAAATGCTAGCCAGCCAATGTCAGCCCCAGGGATTTAAGTTTTCGGCTGCCTTTTTTCTTCCTTCCTTTTTTCCCAGTGAGCAGCAGGAACTGTGCTTGGTTTGCAGGGTCTGAGATTTACTTTCCCTTTCTCCTTTGCCTACTTCCCAGCCAAGGAATGCTGCTTTTGCTGCCTCCCCACAAAAAAAACCTTTCTTTCTCCTTCCTTCCCTCCTTCTCATCCTCCTTTCCTGCCTGCCTCCTTCTCATTCCCATCTTGTTCTGGTGGCCATGCTTACCACAGCTGTGGCTTTCCCATGTGGGGTGGGGGTGGTTCTAATGGACAGGAAGCCACACAGGCTGCAAGGCAGGGCGACAAGCAGGCCATGGAGGTGCTGATGGTGGGTGCTGCGCTTAGATTTCGGTCATCCAGCTGGAACACAGTCAGTCTTAGATCCAAGGGGCAGCCCCAGAGACAGCTAGGGACCACTCCTCCACCTCAGCCTTGCCCACACAGGAGGTGGTGAACACCCAGGGGCAGGGCTGAGGCGGAGGGGTGGTTCCTTGCAGGCTCCAGGGCTGCCCATGGATCTAAGGCAGCCATCAAGTTGTAGATTCCCCGGCTTCCAGAAGCAGTCTGCCAGCTAAAACTGGGCCCATTTTTGGCCTCCCCGGCCTCCAGAAGGCAGGTGAAGGCGTGGGTGGAGTGATGTGGGCAGGGCAACCTTGTTGTCCCGTGCGGGATGTAGTTTGAGGCCCTTGCTCTAATAAGCTACTGCAAACGAATGAATGAATGAATGAACAAAAATTTATTTGACTTTTTGTTTACAGGTGAAAAGCATTCCTCACGAATGTTTGTGTTTAAATACTTTACTATTAAATGAAAACAGAAAGTAGCATCTATCAATCTTGATAAAATGAGAACACTTAGTTGTGTGAATACTCATCCCTGCCTTCCCTACCGAGATTGATTTATCTATGCACCAATCATGCAGGTGGCAAATTCACAGCAAGTTCATTTATTCATTAGTATCTAGCAAAACAAGGATATGGGGGAAAACACAAAATAAAAAAGCTTACAGTTGCTGGAAAAATTATATTAATCTCTTTATCAATAGAATGTTTAGAAGCAAGACATTTGTAGATTTTTAAAAAATAAACTGCTAGTACCTGGGGAGGATCAGATGGAGAGCTTTGTGCTGAAGAGTTATCTTCGATCTTTATCTGCTCATATGTGCGTTTCCTTGGGTTTCCATCTAGAAATTAAAAATTAAATATTTAAATTCAAGTATGAAGTTATACGAACTATAAAATAAAAGGCTGCATATAAAATTTACTTACACAAAGCTTGCCTAAGTTGTTCCAATATATCATTTTCATAAACAGACCTTTCTTCCCAAATAGACAGCACACGGCCCAGATGCTTTTTGCAACTATCATCAGTTTCACTATGATGGCAAAAAAAATCACCAACAGAAATGAAAGAAAAACACGTAAACAGAAACTTAACAAACTTCCATGTACTTTATTTGTTTTATACAAACTTATTTTAAGTCACCATATGCTAATACATGATCTGTATTTTCGGTCAGAAAAAAAAAAGGTTTCTGCAAATAGCTCCCATTTGTTAACTTCAATTTTTGGTGATAGCATCTTCTATAAGAAGTTCATCAGTTCGATTGTTTTAAATGTCTGAATCTTGATGCTCATATTGTTACATTAAATAATGCTGCTTACAAACCTCTGGACCAATTAAAACCATACGTTGTATAGATTTAGCCTTACAACAATCATCCTTCACCTATGTCAAGTACAAGTCCAATTCTGCCTGAATAGTACTTTTTATCCTGCATGACATAATGAACACATACATACACACTCTTCCACTACACTCACAAACACACACAAACATATGCATTGTTTAGTTCCATTTTCTAAATCAAATCAGACAGCAATCTATTTATCAAACTTTCGTTATTCTAGGACGATGATTCTTGCCCAGAAAAAAAAAACAGTTCCTCAGATTAATATACTAAAAGGAATGTACTATACCTGGATACATGCTTAAAAGCTTCCACTATGACAGGTGCAAAATCTTTTGTAAACTCCGGCCCTTTTCTTTTGCTATTTTGAATGACATCATTAGCCAGATACAAAAAAGTTAGCTTCCTGTTTGGTTTGGCTAAAAAACAAGGAAAGAAAGAAAAAATAATTGTAGCAATCTAAACTAGATTGAACAGTTTTTGTCCCAGAAAACATGGGGGTTTTGGGGGGACAAATTCATATTTGCATATGAGATAGTAAGATAGTAATACTGGGAGTTTTAAGCAAAGATTAAATTTAGATTCTCCAAGGTACAGGTAGTCCTCAACTTATGATCACAATTGAATCCAAAATTTATGCTATTAAGTGAGAAATTTGTTGAGTTTGCACCATTTTATGACTTTTCAGTTTTTGCTAACTGAATCAATGCAGTTCTTATATAAATAACACAGTTGTTAAGTGAATCATATTTACCCATTGACTTTCTTTTTCAGAAGATCTCAAGAGGATCAGTTGTCAAGCATCCAAATGTAAATTGCATGATCATGGCAATGCTGAAACGGTTATACATGTGAAAAATGGTCATAAGTCACTTTTTCAGTGCTGTTGTAACTTTGAATGGTCAATAAATGAACTGTTGAAAGTTGAGAACTAGCTGTAGTTTTAAATCCAATATGCTAATTATTGTGCAGTATTGTTTTTTATATTCTCTCTGTCTGTTATATGTAACATATATTGTGTAAGTTAGTTCTTTGGGTTTGAAGAAGACAACTGTTGTGCAGTTTATCTATCAATATGGAGATGCAGTCCCAGTGCAGTTTAGTACAATGGGAACAAAAGTCCATTGGTGTAGTAATTGCGGGTGTTATTCTGTGACATCATCCACAGCTTTCTATCAATTTTGAGGGTGACTGTCTTCAAAGCCAGTGGAGATTTTAAGAGCACAGGGCTTGCCTATGGGTTTTGTCAACTGCAATTTCTAGTTCCTTTGCCTAGATGTCACAGTGGTGCATAATTTCTTTCACAGTGTTTTTGTAGCACTTGCATTGTTGACCTCAAGATCTCTTCTTGGACTCCTCTTACTACAAAGCAATTAGCAAGGCATGCAGTGGTCATCCATTCTGATGTGTCCCAACCACCTCATCCAGGCTCTGATAATCAGGGATTCAATGTGGTTGGACTTTGCTTGACGTTGGACTTCATGATGAAATGACAGGACAGGTTCTTTACAATGGTGAAATGTCAGCTCATTTGCCATTTCCAGTGTGTGTAGCCCCAGTTCTATTCAATCCGTGATTTGCTTGTATATTATTACATGCTGAACAGCTAGTCCTTGACATAAACCATTCATTTAATAACTATTCAAATTTACAACACTTAAAAAAACTGACTTATGGCTAGCTTTTATACTAATGACTGTTTCAGTATCTCCATGGTCATGGAATCAAAATTTGGGTGCTTGAATACTGGCGGGTATTTATGACATCGGCACTGTCCTAGGTCATGTGAACACCATTTTAACCTTCCCAGTTGGCTTCCAAAAAGCAAAGCGAATGGGGGGGAAAAGCTAGATTCACTCAACAATTGCAGTGATCTGTTTAGCAACTGTGGCAAAAAGACTGTAAAATGGTGTGCAACAACTATCTTGCTTAGTAATGGAAAAATTAGACTAAATTGTTGTCATAAGTCAAGGACTATCTTGCATTGTCTGAAGAAGGCTGTATCAACCTTCAGCTCTCTCTTTGATCTTTATGTATATTTGCTTATTTATTATTGTTTATTTGTCATCATTTTGTTTCAAACAACTTAATAAACATTAAAAACATTAAAATCATTGAATATAAAATCACAGAATAGACAAAATAAAATAAGATAGAAAAAGAGGAAGCACTGGAGTGGAGACAGAATTAGCTTTTAATTTCTCTACCACCTCCAGCGTGAAATTGCTCCATTGACCTCAACTCATCTGGTAGAACCATGTTTTAAGACTCTTAGGAAAAATCAGGAAGGTGGGAGACAATCTCACCTCTGATGGTAAGATATTCCAAAGGGCAGGAGCAGAAAGCTCTTCTCCTGTACCCCGCCAGCCAAAATTCCTTAATGGGATTCACAGTATGCCCTCTCTCTGCCAGTGTGGGTGGAGCGGGCAAATCCCACTAGGATGAGATGGTTTCTCAAGTAACCTGGAACCATCCCATAAAGGGCTTTATAGGTGATTAACAACACCTTGAATTGCACCCAAAAGCAAACTGACAACAGTGCAGCTTGCATAGCAGCGGTGTAACATAGGCCATTCTAGGGGCTCCAAGAACTGCCCACTTTGCCACACTCTGGGCCAGCTGTAGCTTTGGAATGCTTTACAATGGTTGCCCCATTTAGAACACATTGCAACAGTCCAAATGTGAGACAACTAGGGCTTGAGGGACTGAGCACAGGGATTCCTGATCCAGGAAAAGTTGCAACTGGCACACAAAATGGAATTGTACTGAAAGAGAATAAGGTGGATGGAGCAGGGAAAGCAATCTTCAAGAGGCAGTTTATAAAACTGTTAGAATAATGAATAAATGCCATGGGCCACATTAGGACTAGCAATAAAAAACCTAATTTATTCAATAGAACAAAGACTAATAGAGTTGGAAGAGACCTTGAAAATCTAACACCCTGCTTAAGCATGGAGTATATATCATTCCAGATAAATGGTTGTCCAGTCTCTACTTTGAAAACCTCCAGTGATGGAGTACCACAATTTCTAGAGGTAAGCCTTTTCACTGTCAGGATATTTTGTCTTAGTTCTAGGTTGGATTTCTCTTTAATGATCTTACACTCTTCATGTACTTTGGAGAATAGGTTGACTTCCCTCTTCTGTATGACAACTCCTTGGGTATTGAAAGACTGCTATCATATCACCCCAGTCTGTCTTTTTTTTAAAAAATCTATTCATTAATTTTATGAACACTGAAATTTTATTAGATAATTATTTTTAAATTTATTTTATTAAACTAAATATCTGTACCTCACGAATTTAAAAAAAAACCCATACTAAACATTTATTTTAAAAAAGAAAATTAGTGATAAAAAATTTCCTTCTTTGTTATTTATTAATGCTATTATGTTTACAATTCTTAAACAACTGCCATCCATTAATAAGCATATAATACCTTAAAAGGGGTGGGATGAGGTAGCAGTCGTTGTAGCAAGAAAGTATTCAGAAGAGGAGGCGGTGTGACCATGAGAGAAAACGTGTAAACACGGAAGTCTAACAACTAGGTTAAAAGCTAAATCATATAGTGTCATTTCCATTCATGGTTAATACATATATGTATTAATATGTAAGTGTTTGTATGTATATATAAATATGTATGTATGCATGTATGTATGTATGTATGTATGTATAGAGCATGTGTATGTACATTATGTATGTGTATACTTTTGAGAGCAGGTATCAGTATTTCATTTTTAATAAGTGCCAGTGTGCCCACAGTAAAAAATGACAATAAAGATTATCTGTCTATTAATTTGGGATAGAGTCAGGGTAACTGGATGAAGCTAAGCACTTACTGGCCTGATGCCCTTCCTGATGTCACAAGGAGTTCATATAAGATTTCCCTCCCACCTTTATGTCCTAGGAGAGAAACATCTGCCACTACTTAGGATTGAACTTTCAGCCTTCCCAGTGGGAGGTGAGGGTCTTCACCACTCAACTACCACACTGTTCATATCTATCAATAAGTATATGAGTAAGATACAGATAGTCCTATAGATAGTAGACTTACAACAATTCATTTAGTGACCATTTGAAGTTACAATGGCATTGAAAAAAGTTTTTATGACAATTTTTCACACTTATGACCATTTCCTCCCCATGGTCATGTGATTTATATTTGGATGCCTGTCAAATGACTCATATTTATAATAGTTAAAATGTCTCGGTGTCATGTGATACTCTTTTGTGACCTTCTGACAAACAAAGTCAATGGCAAAACCAAATTCACTTAACAACTGTTACTAATTTAATAACTGCAGTGATTCAGTTAACAAAGGAAGCAAGAAAAATCGTAAAATGGGTCAAAATTTATTTAACAAATGTCTCACTTAAAACATAAATTTTGGGCTCAATTGTGGTCATAAATCAAGGACTACCTGTACATCAACTATCATGCTGACAGTTTAACAGCTATGCACTTTATGTAATATAAATGTGGGGAATGAGCTAATTCTCTATGTTTTGAAGCTTTGTCTCAAAGTATAATCTCTTCACAGTCCTTTGAAAGCCCACTAGGGAAAATATGATTTGAATATCTGGAGACAAACTGCCACAGGAAGAGGATCATCATCAAGCTCAACAATAAGATCCAATGCAGACATCATTGTCAACTATCTGACTAGCGGACCCAAAAGAAGTAAACACTATCAGGAGCTTTGAAGTCCAAAAAGTAAAATGTTATTGGATATACAATTTTGGCACTGAGGAATCAAGACCACCTCTGGTTTTTCTGCACAACGGCTTGCTTAGTTTTAAAAAATAGCTTCCTTTTCTCTTCACCCCTGGGTGTTCACATTGTCCAATTATGAAAGAGCCAAGGTGGCGCAGTGGTTAAATGCAGCACTGCAGGCTACTTCAGATGACTGCAGTTCAGCAGTTCGGCTGTTCAAATCCCACCAGGCTCAAGGTTGACTCAGCCTTCCATCCTTCCGAGGTGGGTAAAATGAGGACCCGGATTGTTGTTGGGGGCAATATGCTGACTCTGTAAACCGCTTAGAGAGGGCTGAAAGCCCTATGAAGCGGTATATAAGTCTAACTATTGCTATTAACAAACATCCTTTTGTTATGGGAATAGTCCACTTCCTTCTCAGGCACCTGCAGTAGTGACCTTGATGGTTCCCAGGCTCTTATGATTTTTGTGCAAAACTTCAGAATTCCATTCCACTCCAGTTTTTCCTCCCCAACATTTGAATGGCAAGTTGAACAGTGATATGTTTTGAGAGGAGCAAAACTGTCCAATCATGATAGTCGTTCTTTTAAAAGGGAGATTCTTAACAACTGTTTCCGCAATCTCAATCTTAATCACAGCCTCCACCTGCTGTTCAAGCAGGAACCTTGAATCCAGAAGGATATCCAGGTTGTAAGTCAGTTCCATC